TTGACCTGAGTCCCCTACAGCTCAACATAACACCATGGCTTTACTTCTTATACTTCGTTTTTGTACTTTTCTGCTGGATGGTTAAGACCAAGGTAAAGCAGGACCTGTGCAACAGGAGTTGTAGCTTTGGGGCCTGATAAGGTCGGTGAGATCCCCTCAGGATTTATCCTGTTCAACAGTTTTGTTTTAGCGAGGTCAACACCTTTCCAGACAGTGCTGAGACACTTAGCCGTAACCAAGGGCATCTGTTTAGCAACAGGCGCGTGACTGACGCTACTCCAGGTGCTTCAGGCCTGCAGGTCGGAGAGAAGACCTACTGCCACGAAGATGCACTTGGGATGACACAGAACCAAACTTGCTCATTACCGATTACCGCAATAACCTGGGCTGGGGCTGAATAGAAGTAACTGATCAAAGATGACAAGCTCCTGGGAAGGGGGAGGGGCGGAGGACAGAGAGGTGTCCCGCATCATGTTAGTTAGCTCTGTACTAGACTGCAAACCAGCTCGGCCACCAGGAATAGATGCACCGAATGGTTGCGCTGCAAGCACCAAGGCTGTCTGTCCTACCGCTTTCCGTGAGCTAATGGTATAGGGAGATGGTGGATTCGCACAGGCCTGTGGAGTGCGGGGGAAAATTACAGCCGGGTCTGGCGGGCTTTCCATCTTGGAAATGAAATCTTGCTTTACTTCTAAAAAAAAAAAAAAAGAAAAAAAAGTAATTATACAATGCAAGTCAAACTAGCCATCCATCTACAGTCAGTCCTCAATGTCTATCAAAGAATTTTTCATTATCGTGCCACACATCGTAAACCAGCAAGTCCTGATTAGTGAGCTGTAATCCAATCTTGCTCATCTTCCTGTGCCAAAATCTGAGGGGATTACGGGGGGCCAGGGGAAGAATAACGACCTTAGTCTGGGGCGCATCTCGTCTCTGCAGCCTCAGGGACGTGCCCGAAACCTCTCCCCTCGGCGCGAACCCGAAGCGGGCCGTGACCTGGGACCCGGCCGCCGCACGTGGGAGGCGAGCGAAGCATCTGGTCCTGCGGGCTGCCTTCCCTGAGGCGCCGCACAGACCCCGAAAGAGGCTCAAGCTGGCCGCCTCCTCCGACAAAGGCGCCAACTTCTCCCGCCTTCCCGCCACTGCTCACAGCCCAGAGCCGGGCGGAGACCCCAGGGCTGAGGGGGGCCGAGTCTTCCCGACCAGGAACGGAAGCGCCACAAATCCCCCAAGAGGCCACCAGAGCCCACCCACCGCACGGCCGTCTCCAGGTCCTGGGAATGGCGCCTCCCCTAGAACGCTCAACAGCGCGCGGGCGGGACGTCGGCTCGGGGGCGGCAGGGGGCGGGGCGGCGGCGCGCGGGCGGCAGGGGGCGGGGCGATTGGGGGCCGCGGATACTGCGCGGCGGGATTGGCGCGCCGGCTGTGCTCCGGCCCCATCGCTCAGGGAGGGACTGAGCGGGGGAAGGACGGCGATCGCGGCGGGGCGCGCGCGACCAGGGGGGAACTGAGCCGGGGAAGGACGGCGGTCGCGGCGGGGCGCGCCTCAGACCCGGGGGCCCTTCGCTTTGTTTGCAGGCCTCTCCCCTTTCCGCTTCCCGGTTGGGGCGCCCGAGAGCGCCGCCGCCCGCCGCGCTCCAGCCTCCCGCTCCATCCTCCCGCTCCGTCCTCCCGCGCTCCGGCCTCCCGCTCCGGCCTCCCGCGCTCCGGCCTCCCGCTCCCGCCTCCCCCGCTCCGGCCTCCCGCTCCCGCCTCCCCTCCGGCCTCC